AAAATGTATGATGTCATATACACCATTTCTCCACCCTATCTACCAAAACTCTCAGTGGATTCCCATTCTATACAGGTAGAAGTTCTAACACTTTAAGAAAACACCTAACACTATGTACAAGCTGTTTCTGATCTCTTCTTATTCCTTTCATCTTTGTATCCTATGTTCCATAACCCAAGCTGTAAATTTGATTTTGGACATGCTATTTCTTTTCCCTAAAATATCCTACTCAGCCTGACAAATCCCTATTTATTCCTCAAGATCCAGCTCAAAGACATCTGAGGTCACTCCCTCAAGTTTCCCGAGAATTAAATTTTTCCTTTCTAAGCATGCCCAAAATGGTTTATATATTCTTAACTGATATAACCTGATTTGTGCTTTTTGTCTTTCTGTTCACACCATTATAAACAAGACCATAACCCCCACAAAGGTAGTGTCTACACAGTACCTGGGACACAAGGGTTGCTCATTAAGTATTTTTGGAACTGAGTTATAGTACTATTATTATTGGTTTGTTTTGCTTTTTGTTTTGTACTGGGAATTGAATCCAGGTAACTGAATCCACGTAATTGAATTGAATCCACTAAGGTACATCCCCCAGCCCTTTTTTTCTTTTTTTGACTGAGGGTGGGGGGAGGCGGGTGTGTCAGGGATTGAACTCAGGGGCACTCAATTACCAAACTACATCCCCCAGCCTATTTTTTCTATTTTATTTAGAGCCATTACTGAGGCTGGCTTTCAACTCACGATCCTCCTTTCTCAGCCTAAGATCCTCCTGTCTCAGCCTCCAATCCTTCTGTCTCAGCCTCTAGAGTGGCTGGGATTACAGGCTTATGACACGGTACACAGCTCTTTCTTTTTTTAAGACAGGGTCTCACTTTGCCAAGGCTGACCCTGAACTTATAATTCTCCTGCCTCAGTCTGCCCAGTTGCTGGGATTACAGGCTGCACCACCACATCCAGCTTATAGTACTATTTTCAAGTGCTATATTCAAGTATTATCAGTTATGCTATAAAACAATTGTTTTGAAAATGTGAATTTTTTCCAACATGAATGATATATTAGGGAACAATATGAATATAATGCAAATTTCTCATTTGCTTATGTGCAATTTTGTCTGCAAACAACACTAAGTAAAAGTAGAAAACTGCACCCAATTGAAATAAGATGAAGAGAAATACATAAAACACATTTAAACACTCACTAGCTAAGTCAGTTTACCCTGTGTTATGAGTGACCATTCATTTCTGGGGTGAACAATTTTTTATCTGATTTCAGGTAACTCTCCTTCCACCAATTCACAATAATTCATAAGCAACAACCCTTCTGAGGTCCATTTGTACAAGCAAATCAGATATTTTTCACCTTAAATTACCACATTTGTTGTGTATTTACATCTTAACTATTTAACATGTATAAAAAGCTCCAACCAATTTTTAGGTGTTTTTTTTTTTAATGTGTCACTGCCAAAGTTTTTAAGTGCTGTATCCTAATTTCATTCTTTCCCATAAGACCTGTGGTTTCTCCAGTACAATTTTGCACAGCACAGTGACTCTAAGGAATCTATACATTGCTTTACAGCAGAACTGACTATAAATTAACAGCTTTATGAGTTCTTTGGCTTTATACAGTTTCAATATTCCAATTTCATTAATTTACCAAGGAGAAAACTCTGTCTTTTCCCAAAATTTCACAACACATATACAGACCAAATCCTAAAAAACCATTGGGACAGTCATAACCTTAACTTGGTGGCTTTGAAGTCTGGTGAGCATAAGGTTAATTTTTCCAGCTAAGTTCTCTAGTCTGCCTAAGCCTAATTCAGAAAGAAAGTTCTCAAACCTGAACTTTCATGTAGGGCTTTCATTTTTTGGCTGCTTTTAACATCTCTCCCTAAAATACTGACATTTTTATTTTAAGTGACCCTCTCTTCTACAGTAATTGAGCAGAGCCCTCAAGCCCACTACAAGGGACCACAGACAAGAGACACACCACATCCAAGTGAAAAAGAAGAAACTGTCAGTAACATCTATCTCTAACGAGATTTGATTTTAACTTGTGTTGGCTCCACTCTACTCTCCACACTGATGCAAAATTGATACCTAAATCACTTTGCTCTCCTGTTCAAAGTATTTTGACTCCTTACTTTGCTGAGAAAGGAATAAACTTCATTTCTATCTTCCCAAGCATGGTCTTTCAAAATCTAGGTCAGACACACCTCTGCCAGTTCCTCTCAAGTCACTCCCACTGTTTCAATAACACCTTACCACTAGCCTTACTCCAACATCTGACACCTCAGTACAAACCTTCTGTTTGAAAGGACTCCCTCCCAAGTTTGACAAGCTCCTATTCAGTGTTAGTGTTATAAACCAGTTCCAGACCTTCCATTAGTTTAATCATTCTTCTGTTCTTCCACAGCACTCTGTACATCTATTAAGCCTATATAGCAAAAATTAAGTATACTTATTTTTTAATTCTCAGTGTCCAACACTATGGCTAGCATACGCTATTCCTTGACATGTTATTTAAGTTTTGAAAAAATATAAACAGATAAGAAAGAGAAAGAGCCCAGAGAGGGTAAAGTTAAGGCAGCCAAGACCACCCCAATCCCAGATCCAAATAATTATTCTGTTCCTCATTAATTACTTGTTCAAATACCAAAATCTGGCACATTCCTTTGTACCCTAATGCACATATGTGTATAGTATAATTACAATTTAGTTTACTCAGGATCTCTTAACTTCATATACAGTGTTTTATTACTCACATTTCATTTAAGATGGCTACCTCTAGAAAAAACTACATCAGAAGATTTTGTACAACTAGAAAATTAGAAAATTAAAGTTGGGGAACTTTCTTTTCTAAATAATACATTAAGTTCCAGTCACACAACAAACTTGTAGAAAGTACGACATACCCACAAACAAAAGTACCTTCTCCAGTAAAACACATTCTTACCTGAACCTATTTGGAAATTTTTTAAAGTGAAAAATGCTTTAAACCAGAGCTTCCCAACCAGTGGACCTTGCATATGGGAAGGAGTTACAAACATGCTGAAGATACTGACCCCTTACCTGCGAGCTGCCTTACCTATTTATTTCAATATGCCTTATATACATTACCCTTTTTGGTTGCATTATATATAAAAAAGGTGTATGCATTAAAGAATATACAAAGACTAATAGGGGTATAGTGGAATATCTAAGCATTAATCAAAATACATACTTACAAATTCCTACAATGTCTTTATTTGTAGTCAGGACCAAGCTCATGTCTGTTCAAATGAAGGAGTCTGAAATTTCCCAACAACTGCAGTTTTACTTTGCCAACAAGATTTAAGAAACATGAAAATGCCTACGGATTGAACAGGTATTCAAAAGGAGGCTTCTTTAGCTATGTCACCACTTATCATCTGAAATTATGCAAGGATTGACTTTCAGGGAGAAACTTCAGTCTCAAAAAAAAAAAAAAAAAAAAGTATCTTTATCACACAGTCTCTTTTGACCATTTCAGTAACCATCCTGTTCCTCTACTGAGAATTAACCAGCCATAACTACCTTAAATAACTTCTATCCATTAAAAAAAAAAAACAAAACAAAACCCTTCTTTCCCAAGGGAACAAATCATCAACAATTACACACTCTCATCACACTTTCATGCCCTCCACATAACTGTTATATCTTAAGACAAAAGTCAATAACTGTTATATCTTAAGACAAAAGTCAATTTAACCTTTCTAGGTCTCAGTTTTTTCATGAGCAGCAGTTCAAATATTTTGTTTACAGCAATATGACTGGACTAGATAGCTGAACTAAAGACATTAAGTAACTTTTATTCTGAATTTTAAAAGTCTTCACACACATTAAGGACTGTGGTAACTATCTTAGCAACAATTACCAAAAAAGAAAGTCTTCAAAACCTTTTGATCAGCAGCAACAACAGCTCCTAAGCCCTTCAAAACTGTTCTGGAGTGGTGATAAATTTTAGTGTACTATGAAAAATACAAAGTGCCATTACACACCATTTTATTTTTGTCTTATTCATATTTACTTTCTTCCTCTCCAAAATTAAATTCCAAGGCGCAAGTAAGCAAAAATATTCAGTACTAGCAATGATGAGACAATTCACCTGGAAAACAGGTAAATATAAGAACTCAAATTTAAGCAGATTATTTCAACAACGTCAGCTTAACACAGTAACAGCAAATCCAAGATCAAGCAAGACGACCATTCACAATGTTGTCGTTTGGTTAACAGTTAAAGAAAAAAGGTTACAGGTATCTATCAGCAAGCTCTCTCAGGGAACGAGCGGTGTTAAGAGTCAAAGGGAAAAAAAGGTTCCCATAGTAAATGACTGGTGCTGAAAAATGAAAAGCCAAGATTTAATCTGCGTTACTGGAGAAAATTGCTTAAGTAATTAGTACTCCGTGACCTCAACAAAACCATACTATAAATCTCTTTTTATCTGGTGCTAAGTGCTTTTTTAAGCATGTAATTCACCGCTTCCCCAAAAAAATATCTGAGTTAAACTGAATTTAAAAAATTCGGGGGGAGGGGGGAGCGGTTGGTTTCCCGCTTGGCGGTAACTGCGGCTACGGAGTGCGAAGTTCCACACTCCACAGCGCGCACTCCCAGAGTCACTTCCAAAGTTGCCACCCGTCCACGACACGAAACAGGGATACCGGCTGCTGAGGGTGACCGGAGCCTGGGTCCCAGAGCTAGGGCGCCCGCCTCCGCCCCTTGCGCGCCGCCTCCATCGCCGTCAATCAACGTCCTCCAGACTCGGCACGGGGGCGCGGCCCCGGAAAGGCGGTCGCGTCGAGAGGGCGCCCCCAACAGCCGCCAGCTTGGCAGAGCGAGTGTGACTGCCACCCCTAAAACTAAAGTTGCCCGCAACCTATCCCGGCGTGCTCCGGCTACAAGCGGCAGAACGACCTGAAGGGCCGTGCGCGGCTAGTCGGGGAGCAGCCCGGGTCGGGCCTCGGGCCCGTCTCGCTCACCTCTCGAGGTGCGCCGCCTTCCTCCGCCGCTGCCACCGCCTCCTCCCTTTGAGTGCAGCGGGGTCTGACCTGTGGAACCACCATACCAGTCCCGCCCGCTGCTGCAGCGCCGCCACCGCCGCTCCTCTGCCGCCTCAGCCGCCGGTCTTTGTTTCCACTCCGAGAGCTACCGCTTCAGCTGCCCGCCTCAGCCGCCCCGACGGGCCACCACTACGCCCTCCCGCCCTCTCGGCCCCCTGGCTCGCCCTCGTCGCTGCGCCCACCGCCGCCTTCTCCTCCGCGCCGCCGACGCCGCCGCCACCGACGCCGACGCCTCCTCCTTCGCGCCCCCCTCTTTCTCATAGAAAGCAAACAAGCATCATGGCGGCGGCCGCCGTCCCCCAGCCAGCTAGCGCCCCGACCGCCGCCGCCGCTCCAACATCCCGGCCGCCCATTGGTCGCTGCGTCCAGATGCAACCATCCTGCGTCCGGTTAGGGGGGGTCGCTCTTCAAACGCCCGAAGCCCCGCCCCCTCTTCCCTGTTCTGGGGAGCATTGAGCCGGCCCGGCGCGCTGCGGGGACCGCCCTCCAACCCTCTGTTCCCGCTCTCCTCACTCCTTTCCTGCACCGTTGCTTCTATTTTTCTCTTCTTCCTAACGATCCTCCCTTGTTTCCTCTCCTTTGTTGTCTCTGGTGGTTCACTTTTATCTCTTCACTTTCTTCTTTTATTTTGCTTCTCGCGATTTCTTCTCAGGCCTTCGCCTGTCAATCGCTTGGGAACACAGATCAGCTTGCAGACTTTTAACCTCAGCCAGTGTCTTAATCTGCCTAAAGACCAAATACTCAGTCTTTAACAAGTCGAATAATTCTTCCTATTTCAGTTTTGCAGAAAACAAATTAATGGCCCATTTCGGTCCACTAGTTTTGAGGCCCTCGCTTGAGTTATTGACCACAGCTGTGTTCAAAGATCAGGCTGTTCTGTTCAAGACAAACTGTAGTGATTGAAGGTGAGTAGAGAAGGAGTAATCTGATTCGTGATGCTTGCATCAGTAAGCAATAGTCGACTGATAGTCTGGGCACAGAGATGAATCAGACCCCACCCTGTTCTGAGTAAGTCTAGGGAAGAGTAACACCCAGCAGACTGTTAAATTGCACTAGAGACTATGTTGAAGAATATAACTGACCACGCACCTGCATGGCAATCTAACATGGACTACTTGCTCCTTCCTGAAACATCAACCCTGAAGAAATGAGAGTGAAATGGGTTGCAGGAACGAATGATAGCAACCAATATCATTTGGCCCTCACAAAGAATTGCTTAAGAATGTGCAAAATGGATAACTGTTGCCTGGGACAGAGAAGAGTTGACAGGATGAGAAAAGGATTAAGGGACAAAAACTATTCAAAGATCCAAATGATCTATTCAGAACAAGAGTTCTGTACTTGCTTCTCCTCAGCATTGGCTTGAGCTGATCATTGCCTTCTATTTGCCATGACAGCAGTGACAGCCTAAGCCTCTAGTTCCACAAGACACGGGTCAAGGGCAAAGCAATGCAAAAGTTCAGCACAAGTAAGGGATTCATGGGAACAAGTGCAGGCTAACTAATTACTTAGACATCCTTCTACACAACCTCTAGCCCCCAGACTACTGGAGTTGTGTAGCTATTCATAAAGTACCAGCCTGAGGGGCCAGTGGAACAGATATCCAGCTGGTTCTCTCCTCCTGTGCCCTGGCAACCTGTGCTCTAGTGTAGAGAAAGAGGGGCCTTTTTGTAATTCATGTGTCCAGAAGGAGTTGCTTTTTTTGTGATTGGCACAGTGTATATGGAGGAGGGGAAGTCTAGTTGCATAACAAAATCTTGGCAGCATAAAGCAATAATTTGGTTATATCTCATGATTCACATGCTCAGCTGGACAGTTATATTGGTCTCACTTGTGTTTTCTCATGCCTGTGCCTCAGGGGGGCTCAATGTTGGATGTCTGGCACCTCAGTGTTCCCCAACCAGGCATCTCTGTGTAGTACCTCATTCTCTCACTTTTCTGGCTGTCCTTTTTCACATGGCAACCCAGGGTTCCAAGAGGAAGGAAGTAGAAGTTGCCAGGCCTTCTGAAGAATGTCACTTCCCCTGTATTCTGTCCATGAAAACAATCACAAGTCTAATCTAAATTCAAGAGGAGAGGACATAAGCCAGGGAGGAGCTGCATATACATACATGGAATGATGGAGTTATTTGAAGCCACATAAGTAGACTACCTCCACAAAATGCCAGGGTTCCCTGAAACAGGCATTGTTAAGCAGATTGACTATAACGATGAAAATTCATAAGAGACTGCCAAATGTAGCAGGTCCCAGGTTGATTTGCAAGACAACTGAACTGCTATGAGACCAGAATGCTTATGGTAGAAGATCCATGAATCTTTTTCCAGTAGAAGAGCACAAACAAGGCCAAGCCAAAATAGAGATTTCCTGATGAACCTCAAATATACACACTATTTAGTTTTAATAGTCTGACACCTCTTTAGAACTAAAAGATTCACCCCTATGCAGTGCCAAGGACATGACACATTCTAGCTATCTACTTTTCCTTTTGGGGGCTCAAGGCCTCCAAGCTGCAGTTTTCCTCAGATGGGGCCTAGTATAATTGACAAATTTTCAGGTCCTAATCTTATCTTTCTCATATTACTCTTTGTCTCTGGGTCTACTATATTAGTCTTAAGATGATTGGAAATCCAATCATCTTAAGAAAAAAGAAAAGGAATTAGTTGGCTCAAATAGCTTTGAAAGATCAGAAAAAGCATACCTCCATAGTGACTTTAATATCAGGTGCCATATTGAATCAAAATGGATGTCTGCTTCTATTAGGTTCAAGCCCAGAGCTCCCCCTTGACAGCTGAATAAACATCCTGGGCTTGACTTTCATTTCCAACGATGAACCGAATACATTCAGAAGACTGTCATACCGTGGCCAGGAAGAAGTTGAATGCCCCCTCCTGGAGTTCAGTAGTCTTCAACTTCACCCAAAGCATATATGCAAAGGGTTAGGGAGAGGCAGAGAAAAAATGGAGATGTTTTTGAAAGAAAGTAGAACAGAAGCAGAAAGGCAGGAAGAGGCACAGGCCTGAGGTCCATTCTATCAAGACTCTACCTGCACATGAACAGGCTTCCTGCCAGCTGCTTTTCCAGGTAACTGTCTTGTCCTGGTTTCACTGCAATTATGTGAAGTTAGGAGAAGTCACCTCAATGCCCTAGTATGTGGAAGAAAGAGGGCTTACATTCAGAGCTCAGATATGCTCCCTGAAGATTCACCTTAGAGAATTGATGGAAAGGGGAAGAGGCAGCAAGTCTATTTCTAAGTATACGACACTCTTTAAAAGATTAACATTCATTTTCCATTGTTTAAAAAAAAATTGTAGCCATGGTTTTAAAAAATGTTAAAAAAGCAAAAGGCACGAAGAAAGTATTTATTTCTATCCCCACCCCCGCCACACTCCCCATTTGAATTGATCACAATGCTTTGGCCTCAAATAACAAAACAAAACATCTGAGGCTCAATCACCCATACTATGTAAGTATACTTACTCTCAGGACTAGAAGTCCAGTTAGGCATGGCCATAACATGTTGTTTGACTTAAGGCTTAATAAGTGTGCCTGAAACATCTAGAAACAAAACAACTTTGTTTTTAAACAGTATGTTAGTAATATTTCAAATAATATGCCCAAGTGTTTTTCTTCAACCTACAGACACCGTTTCAGAAGCTCTAAATTTAAACAAATGGGTCCAATTATCCAATCTGGGGAAAAAACATAAAAGAACCAAACAACTCCAGACAGTTTTGGACACTGCTTTATATTTATTGTACCCTTCCATGGTTTTCTGATGGTTTGAATGTGTGGAGTGAGAGACGGAGAGTAAAGGATGTCCTTCAGGCATTTGGTCTGAGCAGCTGGCGTCAGCTCTGACGTTCAAGGCAATGGGTGGAACTCTGTTTTGGCATTGTGAGTTCTAATGAAAGCCTGGCAGTTCCTCCCACTCAGATATTGCAAGATGCCAGTGCCTACAAGCAGATTAATCACTGATACTCCCTTGGGTGAAAAACATTTTGAGCTACCTTACTTATTATTACTACTTATTATGGAATGTTGAGGTGTTGGAGGCTGAACTAGGGAGGGATTTTGAAAGATGTTTATTACAGATACTGGCCTAAAAGAGTTTAGCAAAAGGTGATTTTGTTCATGGCAGGTGAATTTAACATGAGGCCTGTTAAGTTTCTCTAAAAACTGACCTTGTCAGCCTAATTTTCCAGGCCCTCTGGGAAGCCATAGTAAGCCAGCTAAGGAATGATGTTCACTTTGAAGTCACTCACAATATTCCTCTACAGTAAACTGATGGCCCTATGGGCTACTCCTCTGCCTCCTTGGGCAGTGGATTGGTCCAGAATCTCTGAGGAGTCTCTACGGGGGGACCTAAGAGGAGCTAAAAGCAAAAATCTGAGGAAATACAGAGAATTTGATAGGGGCCGTGGGGACTTCATCTATCCAGGGGACCAGGTGACAGACATTCAGGTTTCCTCATGCATAGCCTTATTGATGGGCCACAGTCTGAATTTTATTAGAACTCATTCAGTTTCTAGAATAGAAACCTAATTGCAAGTAATTTAAGCAGGAATGGGAATTCATTAGCTCAATGTAAAGCTAGGCACTGCAATGAACAGATGAAGTAAACATTCATATCCTGGTTCCACTCCCATCATCTGCATCCCCTCAAGTTGCTGAACTTCATGGTGGCTTGGTTTCCTCATTTGTAAACTGGAGGTCATGATACTTACAGGGTCATCTGAAGATTAAATGAAATATCAGAACAGAGCCTCTGAAAATTCTGTGGCTTAAAACACTGATGATTTATTCTTGATAACACTTCATTGAAGTGTTCCTAGTCACCAGGTAATTTTCCTCATTATAGAGATTCAGGGACCTAGGTCCCTTCCAACTTATGGTTCTATGGTAGGCCTTCTTATTCTGCAGTTCATGTACCAAGAGCTGTATGAATGGGATTCAGGAAATGGTTCTGTGAACCAGGCAGGATGGGAAGAAATTTAGCATTTCCTGCAATTTTTAGTAATAGATGACGCTATGGTTTGAATATGGTT